AGCATTTTCAGAAAAAGGTTTGACATGCACAACATAAAGGTTATTTTGTTTCAAGGCTTTAAACAAAACAAGGGAGTTTTTCAAAATCTTCATACACCCATTTCCCCATTTACCCTCAAGACCACATTCTTCAAAAACAGAAACAGAAAGCAGGTTGTGCCTAAGATCAGGGACATGTCTAACATTTTTTAATTTGAAAACAGTTCCATTTTCAAACTTAAGACTTATGTCACCCACACCATGGACCTTACACTTCTTATTGTCAGCTAGGGACACATAACCAGAATCACAAGCACTATAAGAAGCAAACAGATTTTTAAAAGGAGTCATGTGGTAGGTACAACCTGAATCTATTAGCCATTCAAATTCAGTTAGGTTGCTTAGGGCAGAATTAGCATGATCACAGATCATGAACACTTCTTCACTAATTTCCTTATCAGTCACAGAGTTGGCCTGTTCATTTCTTTTGGGTTGGGTACAGTCCTTTATGAAATGATCTGGGTTCCCACAGTTATAGCACACTCTTTTCCTAGACTTATGCCTTTTCTTGCTAGGTTGTCTACCATTCTTATCCTGATTGTCCTTTTTAGGATTTTTAGACCTGCTTTTAGACCTTCCCCTAACAAACAAAGCTTCCCCAGATTCCTTATGATGGTTCCTAGAATGTTTTAAGTCAAGTTCTTTACTTCTCAGGCCATTAATAACAATATCAAGGGTTATGTCATCCCTTCCATATTTAATGGCAGACTTAACATCATTATAAGTATCAGGTATAGCATTCAATAAGACTATGGCAGTGTAGTCATCTATATGTTTATCCCCAGCCTGCTTAATGTTTTGAATTAGTTTGTTAAAAACATCTAGGTTTTCATCAATATCTTTTGATAGGTCAAGCCTAAACCTAAAAAACTTTTCCAACAAAAACAGTTTGCCAGGAAGGGAAGTATCAGTATATAGAGACTCAAGTTTATCCCAGAGGTCTTTAGCAGACTCAATGACTCCAACCTTTCTAAGGACAGAGTCAGACAAGTTTAAATATATGGTTGAGCAGGCTATTTCATTCATTTCAACTTGTTTGGGTTTTTCCTCAGTTTCTAAGTATTGCCCAGTAATAGCTCTATGAACTTTCTGTTGTATTAACACACATTTTATCTTCTGTTTCCAAATGTCAAAGTCAGTCTTACCATTAAAAGGCATCATACCATACTGGTTTGAAGCCATGATAACAGTCACAACACAACAGCAGAGATACAGGTAATAAGAGAGCTTAACCCTGATGGTTTGGGTTGCGGACTAAGTGACCACACAGTTCCGGGGCCACTGAAGTGGCTGGCAGGGAATCACTTAGCCCTAACCTCAGGTGCCCTAGCCAGTCAGGGGTTAGGAAGCCACACAATTACCAGAACTCAACACACAGAAGCGGAAGCAAAGTTGAAAAAACTAACTGAGCAGAGAAATAAAACAAAGATAATACAGCAGGAAAAATAAGTAGGGCACGATACAGCAGGTTCAGAGGTTATCACACAGAGGATAAATTCAACACAGGCAAGTTCACATATATCAGTGACCAAGTTCGACACGGATTGGACCACTCATGCACTGTATCACCAACCTAGGGTTTCTGCAGGTCTTATCTAAATAAGATCTACACATGCAATGGTTCAGAAACTAGGGTTTCTAACCGGTAGTTCCTCAACCTAGGGTTTCGGAATACCCATGCATCACAGAAGCCGGTGGCACTCTGGCAGCCCAAGGGTTAGGGTTTGAGTTTATACCTGAGCGGGTGTCACGGAGAGACAGCCCGACTTACCTTCTCCGATGGCATCTTCAGACGTTACCGATGTGGGAGTTCTCCGGTGAGCTTCCGATGTCCGAGAGAGGCAGCAACGTCCATGCTCTGATACCACTGTTAGAAAACCGGACCGGCTCAGACCTCAATCACCACCAAGCCCAAAGGCTTGCTCACACTCACCACCAGGGATACAACCAGGGAAGACAGAAGGGCGACAGCCAACTAGCCCTCACACAAAGAACCCAGACCCCAACCCAGAGAACCCACCGGAGCAACGGATAATCCACCACACTACCAGACTAGAGTGAAGACCCCAATAGGAACCCCAAGGTCTCACCGGAGCAAAGCCGGAGCTAAAGCTCAGAGGAAACCGGCACTCTCTCACTCTAGGTTTAGGGTAACAGAACTGAAGGGGCATCGTTTAGAGAGAAGGCGAAGAGGCAAAAATAGGAGGATTCCAGAAGAACCAGACAAATATAAGGGAGGGCCACACGGGATGGGCTGGGTATAAGACAAACGGGGGACGGATGGGCTTGGTCGGGTAGACAGCCCAATTGGGCCAAGACATTAATTAGGAGACCAACTCCATAAATGGGGTGGACCAAAAGGCAGCTCAGGGATGACCCAGTAATGAGGTGGACCAATACCACAACAAAGACTTTGAGTAAGATTCTGAAATCTAAAGCAGCAGAACAGCAGAGAGAGGCACACCCGAATTTGTAAGAACGTTGAATTGATGACAGGACCGTCTAATGAATTCGGAGACCCCTGTTTCAAACGTAAAATCGAGGCCCCACATTAATATAAAAAAGTATCAAAAAAAATTCAATCCAAATACATATACTTAAATTAATTGAATTCTCATTAAATAATGTAATAAAAAATTTCTAAAATTGAATTAATATTTGATTTAAAGCAACACAACTCATTATTCAAGCAATTTGAGTAAAGAAAACTAAAACGACCAACGAAAAAAAATGGTGAATCTATATGTTTCTTCCTCACTAACTGTGTTTTACTGATCAATATTAATATATGTAGTATAATATTACGGAGTATTATATAATACTAATAAAATTTTGAAATTTTGGGGTCCCGTAAATTTGGGGACCCTGTTCTGGATAACCTATTCTGGATAACCTATTGAACCCCTAAAAAACGGATCTCATTGATACCACCGAAACAGGTTCCAAATGTAAGGAATTAGACTTGAGACTATATCCAAATGTATAATGTTAAGGTAAAGTCCATTTGTAACAGGTTCAATATTTTTTTATTAACTACGGGTAGTTCTATTCACAATTATCAAATTAAGATTTACGAACAAAAATTTTATTATTAATATTTTTTAATTCATTTGGATCATTGATTTCGAAATTCGGTCTGGTTCGAGCTTCGACAAGTGCATATCCCTTTACAATTGAGTTTTTTTGAATATCCATCTAAACTTTTTATACCCCTCCGGTCCCAAAAAAGTTCACTCGCGGTTTAGGATGCTTGACTGACGATAAAGCAACTCGATCTCTGTTCACGTTCGGATTATTTTTAGTAAATAAAAATTACATATTCAGAAACTACATTAAAACCGCTACAAAATCTGATCAAGAAAATTTAAATTTGATAAAAAATTGATATATAAAGTAAAAGATTTAGAGTGATTTAACCTGACTAATGAATAGTGAGTGTGAATTTGTTTTGGGACCGGAGGTAGTAGTATATACTCGAGCTTGACCTCCTAAGTGTTGTTAATTATTACTCCGTATGATTTTTAGTATTGAAGTGTTTGCATTAGGGCTGTTAACGAGCTGAGCCGAGCCCGAACACCCAAAGCTCGAGTTCGGCTCGATAAGGAATTAGTGGTGTTCGGGTTCGAGCTCGAAGCTCGGCGAGCTTTACAAATGAGGCTCGTGCTCGGCTCGATAGGCGTTTGATGTTCGATCCAAACGCTCGATAAGCTTGATAAATATGCTCGAATTTAAAATTTTAGGTGATGCTCGTTAATAGGCTCGTGCTCGAATGGTTCGACAAGTATTCGATTCTTTAATAATCATATTTAAATTCATAAAATAATACTAATTATATTTAAATTTTTAATTATATTTATAATTTTAGGGTGTTCGATAGGCTCAAGTTCGAACCGAGCCGAATACTACTATGTTCGAGCTCGACTCAATTAATTTTTCGAACTTAAAATTCAGCTCGGGTTCGTGTTCGAAAGCTCGTTAAGCTTGGCTCGTTAGGTTCGAAACCGAGCTCGAACTCGAATAGTTCGATAAAAGCTCGATTCGTTAACCGTCCTAGTTTGCATTACTCAGTACGTATTATTATTATATTATTATTATTATTATTATTATTTATAATTGATTATTGTTAAGTAAAATACTCTATGAGCTTTTTAATTCGGTTCTCATCCTCTTATCTGTATAATAAAATCCTCTTTTAGTCGTATTAATAGCACATCATTAATTTCTCACTTTCTTTAATAAATTAATATAATTTATTGGACGCTTATTTGGAAGTTAGGCTATGTTTGACAGTCATAAGTTTCTGCTTTCTAGCTTTTGTACTATTTAAAAAGTCTTTAAAAGTTTCTAGTTGTATGTTTGGCACGCCGCTTTTTAAAAGCTTTTATACAAATGAAAGATCCTTTTTGAGATGCTACTGTGAGTAGCATCTCAGATAAGTCCGTAGATTAGTAGCTCAACTGGTAGCGAAGGAGTGCCACAAGGGTTAGGTCCCGAGTTCGAATCCCGTCAACTGCGATGAGGGGTTACTATGCTAAAATATGCATAGGACCTCTGCAAGTACCGGAGACAGCTAGATCCTCACTCTCTATCTGTCAGATTGGGATTATAATCCAATTTACATCTTCCCAACGTATCGTCCGGTCAAGGTTGGGGGCCCCTCAGGGATGAGGTGTCATCCTTTTTTTCAGATAAATCTGTAGGTTCTAGCATTAAATAGTCTTAACAGCTTGTATACCAAACAGAGTTAAATTAAACAGTCGACTTGTTACCAAACATCTTCTCTCTTTTTCTTTTTAAGATCTTTTCAGTCAGTACTAAAAAATTTATAAAAGTATCTTTTCAGCTAATTGTGCCAAAAATATAAAACAATTATTTTGACTAAAAGCACTTACCTACAGATTATAGCAAGAAAACATCACCCCTATATAAAGCAAGACAGAGTGCCTTGGTCGAAGTGATTTTCACACACAGCAACAAGTCCAGAAGTGTATAATACCGACAAGACTCCATAAAATGAGAAAACCCTCCCTCCTGAAATCGAAGGGCAGAAAACTCAGTGGAGGGAAAATGAGACCGTTTGGTATGGAAACCTCCCTGGCCGCCGATAGCAGGGGTATCGACGCCGTAGAAAATGATGTGTCTGCTTGGAATCCTCTCGATTGTCCGGCGGAGGTTCAGGGGCCTTCTGAACAGCAGCATCCGGAAAAGAGCGACCGAGCCGCTGCTCCGACAGAGGACGGAGAGAGAGATTCAAGTGGCAGAGCAGATGATATGGGCGAGCAGAGGTTTGAAGAGGCCGCTGATGGTGCGGTGAATGTAGGACAAATCCAAAGAAATCAGCTTGGTGAAGGGTTTTACGACCTCGAGGCTATAAGAAAGAAGCGAATTCGTCAGGTAAACAATCCTAGTTTTTACCCAGTCTGCTGAATGTTTATCCTGATAAATGCGCTGGCTGCATTTTTGATGGGATACGTTTCAATGTATTTTGCTCATTTTTAACATTTATTGTACTAATTCTGTGCCTTTTCTTGCTTTCTTTTGTGCAATTGCGAAATTTTGGAACCCTGGAACGCCAAAAGGGTAAAGTCCAGTACTTGATCAAATGGTATGAACTTTCTTTTTCTTCTTCCTGTTAGGAGGAGGGCTCAAGACCTGCATTTATTCTTGAAAATTTTACAATTTATAAGCGATGGTACCTATATACTTCATCCATTCTTTAAAAGTTGCAACATTAGGATTTTTGCACTATTTACACACTTTACTTTGACTACAATTTTCTAATAGTATATATAATCAAATTATTATGTATAAAATATTATTAAATTTCTATCAATGTAAATTTCCAAAATATTAACTTTTTTTAATGTTTACTAATACGTAATTAAATATAATTACAGTCAAATTTGTGCGTTGGCAAACGTGAAAGTCAAACTGTTGCAACTTTTAAAGAACGGAGGATAGTATTTCTTTTGAAAAGAAAAACCCGGAAAACTCTAGAGTAATACCAACACCACTCTAGACACCAAGGCATTTCTGGTTCTTTAGGTTCATATACACCACTCTCAGATATGATGGGAGTTTGGTGTCTCTGAGTATCTGTGTCAAATTAAGTGACAGTGTATCAAATTTGGTGTTAAAAGTGGTGCTAATGTAGATAGAGCATTGCCCAAAAAACTATACTCCTAAGATTAGATAATATACATAGTATGTACTAATTGTGCTCAATGATTTTATGCTGGTGAAAAAGGCGAGGATGGCCTGAATCCACAAACACATGGGAGCCTATTGAGAATCTGGCAGCATGCCCAGATGTCATCGATGCCTTTGAAAAGAGGTTATACTCCTGCTATCCTTCTATATTACTTTCCTACCGATTTGTTAATAGTGATGGCAGAAAATATCTCAATATTATAAGTTTTCTTTCTTCAAGATCACGGTACAAGAAACGAGGCCGTAAGCAAAAGTCCAACACTAGCAATACTGAATCAACCAAGAAGCAGCGCTCTTCCACTCCAGCTTCTACAAATGATAACACAAGCCATTCTGCTCCTCCTGCTTCTAAGAAAAATGCAACCACTCGTATTGAAACCAGGCAAAGCAGGCAGCTTTCTGCTAAAACTGTTAAGGGTAAGGCTCAAGCTACCAGCTCATTGGATGAGTCTGGCTCGAGCATGGGGAATCAATTGCACAATACGCTTTCTAGCGGGAGAGTTTCTGAAAGAAGTGGGGAGGAGCTAAATGAAGGTCTTGTAATAACCAATGGTTCCAGTCTATCCTCAGAGCAGGCTCAAGTTCCTGGAGATTTTGTGCCTATTGAGGCTAAAAGAAGGAAGGGTCCTGTTTCACGGTTTCTGAAAGATTTATCGGCTGATGCAAGTAATGATGTCCCTGAAAAGATGGTAAGGGCTCCTGGTACTAGTAGTAGTAGTCCAGTTGCTAAAGAAGATTATGAAGACGGGTGTAGCATTACTGAGATTGTTGACATTTTCAAATTTGATGATTCTGCTTCCAATTATACCACTGATGTTCTGGAAATCTTTTTGGTTAAGAGGTTTGTTCAACTCATTTCTCACCTTCTATATTGTGATTATTAGCTTTTCAAGTTGTATGTCTATAGTTTATACTTGAATTTGTTTCTCTCTTTAATGTTCTACGTGTGACTATTAATATTTGGTTGTGTTCTTGTATCACTATTAATCTGTAAAGGTCCGACGGGAAAGAGGTGATGGCAAACAAGGGGTTTCTGAAGGAGAACTATACTTCCCTGGTATGTAATTTTCTAATGTTCATTTCTAGTTGAATTTTTACTTAGTTGGATGAGCAAAAACTTATTAAAGAATTACTATCATTATTGATTTGACAGTTGATTGACTTCTATGAGAAACTTCTTCGGAAGTTCATAAAGGCGCGAGCTTGATGAGTTTAGTGGCTGTGAACGGCGGGGAGTGGGTAGGTTGTAGTAACTTTAGCTTGACAATACATGAGTTATTACTTATTAGTAGCCTTTGTCCATGTATACTAGTGTTGTTGTACTGCTTTGTAGCAGGAAGCTCTAGTGTAGTAGTAATGTGAGATGAGTTATGGGTCATTCTATGAGTTATATGGGATGACAGGGATGCACAATACAATCCACATTGTTGATTGAGGCAGAAGCAGACCACAGGCAATTTCTTTATTGTGAATTTTGTTTGTTCTAATTTAGTAGTTAGTAATATGTTTAAACTTTTATATATTTAGCCAATTTTAAAAAGGAATATTTGTTATATACACAATTACTCTTCACTAAAATTTCGATATTTGACTTTTAAGTTTTCACTTCATGTTGTGTTTTCTTTGACTCTACATCTGGATCGGAGTTCAAAATCAAATAGTGACCTAAATTATGGGTACAAAATAATGAATGAGAATGATGCCGTATGGAAATAATACCGTTCAAGTGCAAATCCAAGCAAAATAATATTCAGTATGAGATGCAGGAGTAGAAAAACAATATGGAACAATGCCAATAAAAGAAAAATTGAAAGGTAGGCGTGGACAAAGTCCTGATATTGGCCTATTGGGACTAGCTGGCTTTTTAACCGGGATGGGGTTTTCTGGTTCGGGGCCATAGCTGACACCAGGTATAGGGCACAAGTATTGGGGTTCATTTTTGGGACTAGGGCCGGCCAGTCCGGTCTAAGGAGGTGTGAGTAGGGTGTAAGGAGGTGTGAACTGTGAAGGGTTAAAAAATATATAAAAGAACAAATAAATTGTGACGGGCGGGTGGACAAGAATCGGTCAGAACCAAAAATATAGGTCTCGGTCCTAAGTAGGGATGGACCCGGGTCGGTCCGGTTCCGGGCCGGGCCCGGGCGGGCTTTTTTCTTAGAAACATGGGCCCGGAACTGGCCCGAGGTGATACCGGGTCTGGTCCGGTTACGGGCTGGTCCTGCCCGGTTTGGTCCATCCCTAGTCCTAAGCCTTACTAAGGGGTTGTTTACTTTTGACTTAATGGTCTTAATGGAATGATGAACTTAATGACTCAGCTATACATGACTCTTTATTTAGGACTTATTTTTCAGCAGGACATATTCGCTCAGACAAACAAGGACAGAATCGCTCAGCTCCTTCACAACACTCCTTCACATTCAGACGCAAGAATCCCCGACCAGCATTTAGCCAACAAAAACCCTTTGCGGGCAGCGTGCCCACATAAAACCACCTGCCCTCACTCCTAGCAAGGTCTGTCCATATCCTCAAGAGACAAGCTCACCTAGCGGTGGATTCGGTTCGGTCCTAAGTAGGGATGGGACCGACCCGGTCTGGCGGTCCGGGACCGGGTGTAGACCCGAACTGAGGGGTTAGGGCGGGGCGGGCTTGGTTCGGAAAAAAGTTGACCCGGCCCGGTCGGGTCGGGCCCGGGTCTGGGTCCAACGGTCAGATTTTAAAAAAAATGTTTTGGACTTTTGGGCCAAACTAGCCGTTGGGGGGTGGGCTGGGGACTACCCAAACGGCTATATAGCCGTTGGGTGGGCTGCAAGGGGGGTCTGGGCGGTTTGGAGGGTGGGGATGAGGTTAAAAAAACTATAAATATTCCTAATCTTAAACATTTTTCCATATCTCTTCTCCAACTCTTCCTAAATCATACTCTTAACTCTCTACTCTCTAATTATCTCCATCTTATCAAATTCTCTTATTCTCCAATATAAATTCTATAAATACTCTTATTTTCTAACATTTTTATACACATCTTCTCTAACATCCAATGCCTAATCTCCATTCTCCATCTTCATCTCCATCTATTGTAGTATTTGTAGAATTATTATATCTACCATTTTTAAGATGGAAAGTCAATATGCTGTTATACGGTATAATTTTGATAAGCAGAAGGACCCGAGGACCGGGATGTGGTACGCAACTTGTAAATGGTGCGGGAAAAAGTGTAGCATGGGGGTTTCACGCGGATACGGGATGACAATGAAGCATATTATGTCATGTGACAAAGCCAAAGGACCGGGAGTTGCGGGAAGTTCCGATTGATTACAATTTACAAAATGCATTTCATATTGTATTTTTTTCTTAATTGTCAAATGTACTTCCTATTTCATTTCAAATAAATGCACTTGAAGTTTGTTTTTAATACTTGTATAAAACTATAAAGTATAATCTATGTATATAAAAAAAATGGATTTAACCGGCCCGGCCGACGGTGGCCCGATCCGTGACCCGGGCGGGTGGCCCGGCCCAAACCGGAACCGTCCAGACCTCGGGCTGGTCCCGGGCCCATCACTTACAAACCGGTGGCCCAGCCGGGCCTAGGCCCGGCCCGAGTCCATGCCTAAACTCACCTCTACGGCTCTACCATAGGAATGCACACAAATCATCATCATTGCAAAAAATTAATGTATAAATTCCAGTTGTTCATCATAAATTAGGATTTTTGTAGAAATTTCAGGAAGATGAATATAAATTAGAGAGATTTACCTAAATAGGACTAAAATTAGGTAGAATTGCAAAAACAGGACTACTATGTTTTATTTGATAAAAATAGGACTAAAATGAGGTAATCTACCCAAAATGCCCTTAATGAAGAGTTCGCAGGGGACTTTGCTGCGCATGCGATTCCCCTGCTGCGCAAACGGTGTGCCCTGTTCGATTCCAGGCCTCCAAGATCAGCTCCTCCACCAATGGCGGCTCCTCCACCAATGGCGGCTCTGCCACCATCCATCAAGCCTGCCACCACCTTCACCACCTTCACGCCTCAACAATTTTTTTAAAACTTCAGTACTTCTTACTCATACTCTTATCAAGTGCATACTCAATGTGATCAAACTATAGATATGATTATCTTCAATTCCCCCCTGTATATGCAGCAGCATGTACCTTGCTTTAATACCTTCAAATATCCTTGTATGTGTTGGTTTTATGAGTCTGTGTAGACTTCCATGAGGAATGACACTTCATATGCGAGAATGCCACTTAATATATGCATAACGACACAATAATGACAATTTCGTATAGATACATGACATTCTCAATATGACATTTTCAAATACTGCAATGACATAAAAGTGACATTTTTTAAAAATGATCAATAATGACACAACAATGACATTCTCTTATTCAAAAAGTGTCATTTTCTGAAAATCTAAAGAAGAAGAAAACAGAGGATCCAGATTTGAAGAGGATGGGAAGTTCATATATAGAAGAAGAAGAAGAAGAAGAAGAAGAAGAAGAAGAAGAAGAAGAAGAAGAAGAAGAAGAAGAAGAAGAAGAAGAAGAAGAAGAAGAAGAAGAGGAAGAAGAAGAGTGTTAGTCCCGGAATTCTAACAATCATACAATCATAACAGTGATAAAGAAGCAGATAGAAAGAAATCGATAAGATTGAACGCAAATCTGGTAAACCGTATAAACCTGCCGCTACTCTCCCTGGAGAAGGAGAGCAGCGGCAACCCTAATATCTCTCTATCTCGCCTCTGCGTCTCTAAGCCTCTTGCGATCGTTAGGGTTCCCGTAAGTTAGCCTCCTTTTATAGGAGAAGTTAGCTAACTTACGGGTTACAAGGAAGCCCACGGGCTGATACACATTTGTGGCCCGTATTACACGATTAATTTATAACTACACAAATACAAAGATAACTAACTAGATTGAACACCATAAAATATTCCCAACAATCTCCCCCTTGGTGATCAATCGTGTTGAATCAGCATTGCAGCGCAGATATCTTTGTCTTTGTTGTTATTGAGCTTCCTTTGTCTTTGAACTTGACTTCTGAGGAAGGCTATTTGAAGAAATCCTTGCAATCTCCCCTTTGATGTCTTCTTGACAATTTGATCTTTGATGCCGGGGGTTGAGGGACCTTCAGTATCGTGCATGTAGTCCTTGCCTTCCAGAAGTTGCTCTTGATCAGCTTAGATGAAGTCCGGTGAAGCCTCTAGAATGAATGTTCTTTGGAGAAACAGGAGACGCCCATGGAAATCATCTTCAGGACAGGAGTATTTGACCTCTGTCTCCTCCACAATGTAGTCTTTTTGACTATTTGGAATGAATGCATTTGAGGAGAACTTGTCGGTGGCACAGCGGAACATAATGATGGTTGATTTGTGAGTGTAGCTGACCATTTGATTTGAGTTGCGGAGATAGTAGAGAGGGTGTTGAATTTTGTGATGGAGGAGTGAAGTGTCCCAGAATGATTTGTTCAGTGTTAATAGCATGTGGACCACTCTCCCCCTCATGACGATCCGATGAATCGGGACGTCATGCTTTTATTCTTTTATTCTGCGGAAATAAAAACATGAAAAACAAGCAGAATCTAAAAAGGTAACGTAGCCCCCCGGAGTCATGAAGACGCCCGTTATCATCACTATAGAGATAAACTCTAAAGAAATGGCCTGAAAATGTTGGTGATTCTTATGTTGCAACAGCAGGACTTCCTTCCAATTATTGGTCTACATCTGTAATAGATGAGCCCTATGGAAGTTCTCGCAAGTCTTGAAGACTAGCAACTGACTCTAAAATGTGTCTGTGTCCTAGAAAGTTTCAAAACATTTGGGAAGTGAGTAACTAGACACGACGTGATCAATGAAAATTCAGTGGCATGGGGCTGAGGCCACTGTAGTCAGTATTACTTGCCTCGGAAGGAGACAGTAATGAGAGATGCGGTTCCCCGTGAACTATGATTAAACACCTGTCTGTTGGGAGACAGGTGAGTGGTCTAGGGTAGGGTTGTGCATGCGCCGTTTGGACAAAATGCAGCGACTTGTACCCGGGATCTGAATAAATTCAGTCCTGAACCTATGGGGATAGTCCAGAGTTTTTTTTTTGTGGCTAGGAGCAAATGTTCAATTCATAGCAGGCAATTGAGGTAGCAGACTCATCATTGATAATTGTTTTTCTTCTCACTTGAGCCTTCTGCTTCCTAATGCTCATAATGTTCACTCGCTCACTCGCTCACCTACGCACTTACGCTCGGCTTTGACCCATGGGTAGGCTTAGTTGGGTTTACTAAGCCATAGGGACATGTTCTCTCATTACTTTCTTCATTTTCTCTCTGTACTCCCCCTCAACTGGAGCACTCGGTATGCTTTGTCATTGTTAGGCACCGGGGAGGATAACATTGAACACTCCCCCTAAAATGTTGCATCCTTTGAGAGATTCCTTGCTTTGTCGGTGTAAGGCGCCAGGAGGAGAAAACTGAAACTCCCCCTCAGAATGTGCAAGGTTTGATTGCTCACAGCTTGTCATCCCCGCCATGTGTGTGGAGCAATCTGAACAAGTACCACACATGACGGTTTCCTGAGCTCATCATGTAGAATTTCAGCATGTTGATGATCACATAATGTTGATGAGTCAGGGGAGGCTTCAGCAGTTGATTGTTGATTGTTGTAAGATGACCGTTGACGCGAGGTTGATTGAATTATCTACGATTTTCAGACCTTTTCATTGAAGTTTAGAAAAGCTTTGACCTCAGGGTTGACAATGAAAGAATTTGAACAGATTTGCCTAAGTTTTGACCTGGACATCGGTGATTTACAATGTTTGTCGGAAAACTAACTTTTTGACCCTCAAAGACTGCGAGTGAGGGCGCGTGAGAATGGGTTCTGGGGCGTAGCCCGAGAATTAATGTAGATCTTTGCGTTAGCTTTCCAACAAAAAAAGGTTTGCTCAAATCGGATCACCGAGTCAAAAGTTATGGCCAAAACAGTGCGGTGTCGCAGAAAATCTCTAATTGTGAGTTTTTGAGGAATTTCTTCGAAGATGAGGTGCTCGATGTTGAATGTCGAGAGCAGGTGGATTTTAAACAAAATTCTAGAGATTGCCTCGAGGAATAATGGCCAAATCCACCAGCAAAACAAACCTCAGAATATCGAAATCTGCAGAATTTCAAAATGTTTGAACATCGAAAACTTTGGAGTTTCGAAAACCTCATAATCTCGAAAACTTGCTGTTTGAAAAACATCAGAACATCGAAAACTCATGAAACATATATAAGCAGGGAATCATTTAGAGATCCTTATAATGTAAAGCTTCGATGAACTGCAGAGGATGTCAAGATTCGAATTATGAGTTCCAAGAAACTGCAAACTTTGAAAGATTCAAAACATCGAGAAATTTTGAAAATCTCAAAATCTTCAGAATGTCGAGATCCAAAACATCGAGATCCCAAATGTCGAAATCCCAAAACTCGAAATCCTAAATGTCGAAATTCCAAAACTCGAGATTACAAATCTCGAGATCTTGATTTCGAGATTCAAATCTCGAGATCTTGATGTCGAGATTCAAATCTCGAGATCTTGATTTCGAGATTCAAATCTCGAGATCATGATTTCGAGATTGAAATCTCGAGATATTGATTTCGAGATTCAAATCTCGAGATCATGATTTCGAGATTCAAATCTCGAGATCAAGATGTCGAGATGCAAATCTCGAGATCAAGATGCCGAGATGCAAATCTCGAGATCAAGATGTCGAGATGCAAATCTCGAGATCTCAAATGTCGAGAAGAAGAAATCGAGTCCCTAAATGTCGAGATCCTGCAAAACGAAAACATTGATTTTTGAAAATCTGAAACCTGTTCTGAATAGCCCTGAAAGTCGAGATTCTCCTGTATCAGTTTCAAGCCAAAAACGTTTCTGCAGCAGTGAGAATTAAGGATTTCGAGATCTCAATGTAGAGATCTTCGAAATATAAAATTTGCAGAAAACGAAAAAAGAGGTATGCTGCTGGATCGGTTTTGAAAGGCGAATCCAACAGTATGATTTTTACAAAATTTCGTTCACAAACGAGATTACAGGAGCAAATCTCTACATATAGAAAAACTGAAGAAAAAACAGAGCAGTTCATCGTTAAATCCAAAAATCGCAGACAGATCCAACCTGTTTCACGCCTCGGCTCTGATACCAAATGTTAGTCCCGGAATTCTAACAATCATACAATCATAACAGTGATAAAGAAGCAGATAGAAAGAAATCGATAAGATTGAACGCAAATCTGGTAAACCGTATAAACCTGCCGCTACTCTCCCTGGAGAAGGAGAGCAGCGGCAACCCTAATATCTCTCTATCTCGCCTCTGCGTCTCTAAGCCTCTTGCGATCGTTAGGGTTCCCGTAAGTTAGCCTCCTTTTATAGGAGAAGTTAGCTAACTTACGGGTTACAAGGAAGCCCACGGGCTGATACACATTTGTGGCCCGTATTACACGATTAATTTATAACTACACAAATACAAAGATAACTAACTAGATTGAACACCATAAAATATTCCCAACAAAGAGGAAGAAGAAGGATACCTGTGGTCGACGGTGGAGTTGTTGTGCGTGGCCATCGCCGATGGAGGAGCTGCTGTCAAGGGATGTGCGGAGCTGCTGCTACGATGAATTTATCGTAGATTGCAGAAAGGGGCCATCGATGTGATGCCGATGTGTGTGGCCAGTGACGAATTGCAGAAGGAGGCAAGAGATGAGTTTTAATAGCAGAAGGGCAAAAGTGTAATGTGGAGTCCCATTTAGGAAATTTAAAACTTGAAGTCCTTATTTGGAGTTTTAACCATGTTTTAGTCCCATTTAATATAATTTCTTTATAAATTAAACATGTATGTGATATTCTGCATATTGAAATTTTCAGCAGCTACACATAAATTTTGCAAGATTTTTTGTACAAATTGAACTTTCTAACAGTTGTCGAAAAAGATGTATTTCAAATTTGAAAAATACAGAACACGAGTATCCTATATTATGCAACAAAAACTTAAATAATTTATTTCAAAACATCATAAATAAACAAAAAGAGTATCAAATGGTCAATCATCGTAAATTTCAAAATTTAGAATTCAAATATGAAATATTATACACATACTTAAAACTTCAAAGTTATATAATGCTAACTCGATATCTATATTCTTTTGTCAATATATACATTAGATTCATATTCTTTAATAAAATAGATTTCAAATTTGGATCATTAATAAGAAGATTGGTATCTATATTCTTCTGTCAATATACATTAGAGTCATATTCTTTAACCAAATAGATTTCAAATTTGGCTAAATAATAGGAAGATTGGTAGTTTTGATCATCCCTAAATCTTCTCTCGTGTGTTAGTAGTATATATTGTTTTAAATGTGCGTACCAATCTAGGGATACCGGATACAAGTATAAGAAGTTTCTCTTTTAAAAAATGGGTCCAAAACTTTTATGAAATTATGGATATGGGTCTAATATATTGGACATGTATCGGTGAGTGATATAGAATGTGTATGTGATACGCATATATGGCATGACAAAGTATTGATGGATCATATCATCATAAGTTCAAAATAAAAGGAGTTGTGGAGCGCTTTTTATTTAGGTGTCCAAACCCGCACGAGTAGCTCAGTTGATCAAGTGGTGGGAAATTTGGACCAAGTGACCAAGATTCGAAACCCGCAGCGGCCGTGTGGAGGTTACAGAACCTGAAATAAGGCATGACTTCTGGTGCACACGTGTATAAGACATACCGCCGCTTTGCTGACTGAGTCACCGTGATTAACCTCCCCACCATCCTGTCAGATCGGGGTGAGGGGCCTTGGGGTTGGGCATTCAACCTTTTGGACCAAATATTTAGGTGTCCAAAATAAAAAGCGCTGAAAATTAGGAGTCTAGAGGAGCTCGACTTAATAGTAAGACCATCAAACTGGCTTTTTGTTGCACTCAATCGTTTGGAAAACTAGGAACTCCGGAATTTTGAAGGGGCTACTTTTCAAATCATAATATACTTTTTGTAAATAAAACTTTTAACTTATAATTTTTATTCTCATGATATGATAAGTTACTAGGCCACTTTAGACTGCACTAAGGGATTTTTTCTTATTTTTCATCAAGATTTATCTGGAATAAGATGTGTGTCTAGATTGATTGGCATTGTTGTTGGTAGCTAAACATGTGTTGTGTGTTTACTATTCTTTTTCTGAATGACATTTCTCAATGCTGAAAAATCATTGTACTGTGAATTACTTCAACAAAAAATAGCACGATTATATAATTTCAAAATTATTACCACAGCAATATCTTAAAGTTGAACATTTCCTACTAATGTATTCGCTATTTCATTCCGCAAATTCATCATATATTAGTACATATATAGTATACTTTGTGTATCCCATTGTGCCCTGTCTACTTCCTTGGCCTTTATCTTGTGCTTCGATTATGAAGGAAAACCTTCCCCAAGTTTGCACAAATATGCTGGAAAAACAAACAGAAACTATGTGCCCAGAAAACAGAAAAAATGCTAGTATTTAATTGCCAAACTTTCTTCTAAAAACTACTCCGTATTTGATGAATAACTATTCTACCATTATATTTTATATATGTAATTTTCCAAAAATACAGGTACAACTAAAAATAATTAACTGTACTAAGAATCAGAAAGCTCATACAATTGTTAGATTATTTGCGCAAGTTGACTAGCAACCTGATGATCAATGTAAAATAAAAATATGGGAAATTACCCAAAATAGGAGCAAATGACACTTGGAATTCCAAAAATAGGACTAGTATGTTTTTCTTCCCGAAATAAGAGTTATTACTGTCATGTATGAAAAATACTGTCATGATTGAAAAATAATGTCATTAATTATAATAGATACTGTCATGTTAAATGCACTGTACTACAACTATTTGGCAGTCACGGCTACAAGATGACAGTAAATACTGCCGTGTTAGTCTCATTTCGGGAATAAAAACAAAGTTGTCCTATTTTGGAATTTCAAACTTCATTTACTCCTATTTTGAGAAATCTCCCTAAAAAAATATTAGTAATTATCCTGTTCTTACCCAATCTTCAAGAAGACAAAAGTCGTGCCATTGGATCAGCTGTTCTTAGTCTCGAATCAGCTAAAGCCAAAATGCGAGGGTAATGCGAGACTTGAGTCTCTTAGTCTATATATTTTGTATTCAACTATTCTTGCTTTCAACATCTTTACTCTCGGTAATAGACCCAATCAAAAGCCCCAAGTCCAAGCCTTAAGTGAAAAACTGTATGTGCTTTCTTCCCCGCTGAAAGAAGGCTATCTCAGCACGAGTCCTCACAACCGCCGCTGCAATTGTAATGACAGTGCCCTGCAAAGATTGAATCAAAGGGAATAAGTAAGGTCACCTTCAAAACTTAATATGCATAATGCATTATAAATCAGTTATAAATATGGCAAAATGTCATTAGCACTGCAAGCACATGCAAAGAAAAGTAGAACTTCTCAATAAAAGAAGACGCACAATGAAGTGTGAAGAAAACCTTTTCATAGAATCACAAGCAGTGGGAGGTCTCGAGTTCGAATCCCGCTAGGCACACAAGGGTTTGAAACTCAATGGAGTGAGTTTCAGCCCTGATTACTCCAGGCCCCCAGCCCCCCTCCCCCAGCCCCCCTCCCCCAGCCCCCTGGAGTAAAAAAAAACCACAAGCATAACATTTGGTAAGTAATATACCTGAATTACAATGTTTTACCAAGACCTTAGACCTATATTACACAACTACTCTGTATACACTCGGTCCTTCCAAAAAAGGAGAACCATTTGAAAAACAGATTTTGCCCGAAAATGTAGTCTTGTTTGAAGAAAAGGAATAAATTTTCATTATAGTAAATGTTTTTCATTTTCAAAGAAGGACCCAAACAACTTTAAGTATGCTACTATGTTTAGTTTTTTTTTTTTGAAAACTAAAATATATTGATGAAGGAAATAAAAAGCGAATGGGGGGCAGACCGTACCCAATAGTTACAGATATTGCCGGATAAAAGGAATTCCTGACCAATCAGAATTAAAAGCTAAATGGATACTAAGCAGTAAAGAGGAAAATTTAAAACAGATATATGTATCTGAAAGGTCTTTGAGTATGTTTAGCAATATAGTGAGCCGGTATGCTTAGTTTCATTCAACCAACAAATAAAGTATAAAATATAGCTAGAATTGATGATTTCAAATAGTTGTGCCTTTCTAAAATTAAAAGGTTATACCTTTGTGAATATGACATTGTTTTATTGGGGGGCGGATGCAGTAAGTTTTGGCTTTCTGCAATATCTCAAGTTAAGTGTATGAATTGACTCCCATTAGCATGCCCTCTTGGAACAGATTCTTGCAGAGTATCTCTGTTATTTGTATATGTTGAACCATCCCACTCTCATGTTGGATTCTTTACTGCATGGCATCTGCTCTTTTAGCTTCCTGGTGACATTTGAAGTTAAAATGTCACCACAGATCGCAACAACTACACGTACCATCCTTGAATAAGTGAAACCGATTAGCATCCCTTACTAATATCTCTCTGTTCACTACTTTCGATATATACTTGGTTGCAGTATGGCAATCCCCACAAACCCTGAGATTCTTCATTATTTGAAGAGGAGTCCCTGGTTTTGTGTTTATTAACCCAAATGCTATGGCTATCCGTTCACTGTGCCCACAAAGCACCTCCACCTTCTCATCATCGTCCACATCATGCAACACACTGTGTAGGTCTGCTACATAACCTTCTTTAGCCATCAAACCATAAAGAATCCATAATAGATTTTTAACCTCTGCATACTGTTCGAACAACCTGTCTCCGGCAATAAAAACATAAACCTTATTGTTTATCTCCACCCAGCTAGATCCAGGTTCTTTTTTCATCCCCCTTGACTTGATAGATTTTCTTATCTTCTTCACTTTGTCCCAATTTCCCAATGTTGCGTACACGTTGGACGCAAGAACGTGATAGCCCGGATCATCCGAATTCAAACGAGAGAGATTGTGGAGGGCCAGCTCAGCAGTTTTGGTGTCCCCACTTGACCGGCAAGCACTCAAAAGAGCACCCCAGATAGTAACATCTGGCTGGATTGGCATGGAGAGAATAAACTCCTCCGCTTCAGAAACTAGCCCGGATCGAGAAAGTAGGTCCACCATGCATGCATAGTGTTCTAGTCTGGGCTCCATGTGATACTCTCTCTTCATCTGGTCAAAGTGGGTCCGGCCTTCTTCTACAAGACCTGAATGGCTACATGCATATAATATGGAAACAAACACAATATGATCGAGAAGGATTCCGGGTGTTTTTTTCAAATCGTCAAAAACTCCCAGAGCTTTCTTTCCTTCGCCATACATTCCATAAGCAGTTATCATTGAAGTCCATGTAACTATGTCTTTTTTCAGCATGCCCTCAAAGACCGTCACCGCAGTCGTCAAGGTCCCACTTTTTGAGTACATTTCAATCAGGGCATTGCCGATCGGGACATCTGAATGGAAACCAAGCCTCAGAATCTGGTTGTGAATTTCTTTGCCTTTCCGTTTGGCGGCAAGAATGGAACATAGAGGGAGGGAGACTAAGAAAGTAGTGGTGTCCGGCTCAATTCCATCATATCTCATCTTCCTAACCATTCTAAATCCCATAGCACAATCCTCTCTACATGCTGTGATTATAGTGTTCCATGTGACAGTGTCTTGAGAGTCCATGTTCTGGAAATGTTTGAGAGAGTCATGGATGTGTCCACATTTGGCATACATATCCACCAAGGAATTTCCAAGAATCAGAATGGATTCGAATCCTCTCTTCATTATGTCAGAGTGGAGTTGTCTAGCGAAATCTATGTTTTCTGCTTGTGTACATACTGATAGAAGAGTCACATAAGTTGCAGAATCAGGAACTGTTTCCCTCTTCATTGTTTTGAAAACTTGTATTGCATCCGTGTAGGACCCATTTTCAGCATATCCGTTGATTAAACAGTTCCATGATACTGAATCCCTGCATTTCATTCTGCTGAAAACATCTCTTGAAGCTTTTAATTCACCACATTTTGCATACATGTTGATTATGATGTTGTTAGCCGTGATGTCGCATTCGTATTTGTTTTTAACTATGATGTCATGATGAATATACTTACCTAACCTCAAGTCTCTTACATGAGCACAAGCATGCAGAAGGGAAGCTAGTGTCATCAAATCCGGTCTAATATATTCACAACTGTCCATTTCTAGAAACAGCTGGATCGACTCGTTATATAAACCCAACTGTGAATACCCACAAATCATAATGTTCCAGGTGACTGTGTCTCTGTGTGTCATCTCAGAGAAGAGCTTCTCACAATCCATTGGCCTCTCAAGCTTAAAGTACATTGACAGCAATCCGTTATTAACAATTATATCTTTTTTAGTTCCTACCTTCTCCACCAACCCGTGAACTATCTGCCCCTGTGTAACCTTCAGCAATCCCCCGCATGCTGGTAAAACATTCGACAGAGTAAAAGAATCAGGCTCCACTCCAAATAATCTAGCCTGATGAAAAACTTCAAGAGCTTCTTCCCAATAGCCGTTGGCACTATATGCAGAGATGAGAGTATTCCAAGAAACCACATCTTTACTAGGCAATTTATCGAACACTTCCCGTGCTCGCCCCAAATCATTCATCCTAGCGTACATATCAATCAGAGCATTACCAATGTACAAATCCGCCTGGAAACCCATTTCTAGCACGTGACCATAAACAATTGTTCCCATCTCAAAGTCGGATAAACTGCCGCAGGAATTAATAACTGAGGGGAAAGTATAGTTATCCGGCTTAATATCTGATTTTCTCATATGGGAATAAAACTCCAATGCCATAGAGAACTGTCCAGTATGGGTCATGGACCTGATGATGGTGTTCCACAAATACACATTTTTCGTCTGTGAATTTAAGTGAAAAACAGCTATCGAAGAGGCCGGGTCTTTGATCTCTGAATACCTGGAAATGAGTTTGCCGGATAAGAACACAGAGTGCTGGTGGCCTGATAAGATTATAAAGGCGTGAACTTTGTGTACATCTCTTGGGTTTTTAGAGAAAGACAATGCTTTGGAAATTAAAGAAAATAGAGAGTCGTGGCTTCTTTGTGTTTGAGTGTAGAGCTTGCAGGTGCTCATAGATGAAGCAAATATCTTTTGCAACATTCCATTTACTAGAGGGGCGGCAGACGTTCTATGCAGGCATACAGAGAGGGCGTGCTCAAAGATGATCAAGTTGTCGCTTCACACCAGAGCAGAGAATCCCCATAGCAGAACTCCAAAAACAAAAGAAAACAAACATCTTCGATTCAAAAATAAAAAACTAATCATACCCAGAGGATACAACCTAAAAATTATAAATGTCGCAACTCGCAACTTCGATAGGTGATAAAAAAATATTCTGCAGCACAACTGAGGTTCCTTCAAAGATCCCTGGTATTTCGGGCCTTCCAAATAATATGCACAGAGCAGCTGAAAGCCACACGGACTGCCTTGCGTTTAACCCTTGCTCCTCTAAATTCATTTTTGCAGCATTTGACAGCACTAGCTGACGTAGAATTATTCATCTCAACTCCCAATCAAAAACATACCTCTTTCCAAACCATCCCTGAAACTGGGCACTTGAACTGGGCAATATTCCATTCCGTAAATGGAATATGTGTTTTGATTCGTTAGGGAATCTAAACTTTGACCATTCTGGAATCTGGAGATCATAGGATTATCCGAACTACAAATTGGAAGTGATTAATTTTAAGTTTGTTTTCTAGGGCTTGTTTTGACTTCCTAATTTTAAGTTTGGAAAAAGGTTCAAACTCTTATATAGGAGGTTCTGTCAAGCCGTCCCTATTTAGGATAGTTCCCGTTTGAATTTTTTGATGAATTTTTTTGAGCATATTATTCATTAAGTCTAGTTTACTCATACCAAATTCCACCTAAAACATCAATCGGTAACGCATTCAAATGAATTCTCGAAGATAACTGCGCAGTTAAAAGCGCAGTTATCTTCAAGAATTCATTTGAATGCTTTTCGGATTGAATTGTTAGCTGAAATTTGGTATGCGTAAACTAGACTCAATGAATAAGATGTTCAAAAAAATTTATCAAAAAAATCCATCAGGAACTGCCCCAAATGGCGACGACCGGACAGAGTCTCCTATGCATAGGGCTTATTTGACCTTTTTATATAAATTTGAGGACCTATTTGAACCTTTTTTCTTTAAGTTTTAACCTGAATGAATTGGTAAGGGTTGCATTAGTACTATTCCCCTTACCGGTGGAGATAGAAGGGAAAAGTAAGCAAAAAATGAAAAGATTCATAATTTTTTGAAAACAGATAACTTAATTATTATTAATGAAGATGATAAAAAAACATTACAATCATAAAGTTCAAGGCTACAATGGAATGAAACATTAAAACGGACGATTCTAATCGAAAACGATGAATCGCTAATCCCGCAAAGAAGTAGACTCTACTTGCAGATTGACGGCTCACGATCACAATAATTATCAAAAGAACTCTTAAACATCCCGGTTTCTCCAGCAACCGGTAAGGAGCCAACCGTAGAATTTGTTCCGGTTTCACCAGCCACCGAAAAGAAAGCAATCCAAATGATCTCATCTTCCTGGAACGGCGGTGGTTCAGGAGGTGGGCGATCCGCGTCAATATCGGCACAGAAGAAAATCATGTTTTTTGATTGATGAAGAGATCAGTGCAAATCTCTTCTTAGCACACAAGGGCGCCCGACCGAAAGTGGCGGGGAAATGGATCTAGCAGACGATATTTCGCTACCGAAAATAATACCTCCGAACAACGTTGGGAAAGAAACATATGAATAAAACTGAAAACACTGGTTCAGAAGATGTTTTTCTATCAAAGAAGATTGAAAGAAGAGAAGAGAAGAAGAGAAAAAGAGGAGGCGGCGGCTAGGGTTTCCCCATGCTATGGAATATTAGGCTATTAGCGAAAAGATTCATAGTTTTATGTCTCTCAATATTAAGTTCACATGTTGCTTTTTTGGAATATCCCACAATTAAGTTCATGTTTCTATATGTGGAAAACTTTTATTTAAAATGTCCATTTTACCTCTGCCGACTGACTCCTGATATTTTTACCCTACTTCACCGCGTCACTTCCATTAACATTAACCTCTCTCTCTATCAGACCCTTGATCTCCTTCACAATCCACACAATATATGCGGAAAATATCATGCACCATGATATATTTATACTACCTCTGCCCGAAAAGGTTTGCCATATTGATTTTTCTTGGTCAATAATGACAAACTTTGGATAATGATTTTAATTATTATATTTGTATATAGTTTTTAAATTTTATACTTTAATGAAAATGTTTTGAATGAGGAATATTTTGATATAATTTTAATATTCAAAATAATACTGTATTACAAGATATCACTGGTCAAAGTTGATTGTCATTAACAAAAAAAAAGTCATCGTGGCAAACCTTTTCGAAACGGAGGGAGTATCTTTTTTAATTGATTATATGTGCTCATCCGTGACTATGATGTGTTTAGAAAATGGTGTTTCTGCAAAAAAAAATGACGTTTTGATCACTTTTAGTATTTTCAATTAGTGAGAATGTTGCTTGATAAATAGTTGTACAGAACCACTAAAATGGAAACGCTTCAAGTACCAGTGTTTTGGATTAGCGTTTTGAAAGGTGTTATTTCATACTAATTGCAAAGACCAAACAACTAAATTCTCAAACATATTTTTGCAACTTGTCAATTTATTGTGCTAGTCATACCCTTTGACTGAATCCGCTATTAATAATCCGCTAACATAATACGCTAACTCTTAACCGCTATATGGCCTCAATTGTTTAGTAATCAAACAAATAATCAAATAAATTCTCCAAAATCTTCACACATGCAATTTTTTTGCTCAACTTTCTCTCAATGTTTCAATGTAGGGATGTTTTTACTTGGACTGTAATTTGCTAGTCTGGTATGATCTGGTCTAGTCTGTTTTAGTTTGGTCTGGTCTGTATTGGCTTGGTCTGGTCTAGTCTAAAATTTCACTTTTTATATCTTTTGCATAAAGATTTTATTTTTATATATATTATAATCCATAAATAATTATATTTTATTCATTTATAATTTAACGTAGGGATGAGCTCGGACGGGTCGACCCGACCCGGGACCCGCCCGATACTGTCCATGCCCGACCCGACCTGGTACTATGCAAGCCCAACCCAGTCTGGTCAATCGATATCGGGACCGGGAGGGGGACCTAAATCGAAAGGGATCGGGGTGGGCTACGGGCTTTGGAAATTATGGACCGGTCCGGGTGGCCGCACCTAGTTATCTTTTTTTTTTTGCATTGGACTGCCTGCTAGTAGGTGGGTGGGGTTGGGGGGTTCAGGAGTGGGGGATGGGGGGTTGAAATTAATTCGAAAATACCCGAAAAAATTATATTTGAGCCCGATCCGGCTCGATCCCGGTACTAATCCGGGTACTGGGCCTGAATATTTTGGACCAGAAGCCTGCCCAAGCCCGGCCCAACCAAGTCCCGATCCATGCTTAATAGTAATTTTACTATTAAGCACTTTTCCCAAAATCACTTTACAAGATCACTTTTTTAAAGTAAAAGCAATCGCAAATATTCCCTTAAAAAGCAACGTTTAGTAACTCATGAAGTAAACGTGTTCTAAAGCTTGCATTTGAGCGGCGTAAACAATGCCCTCTTTGGATAATAGTAGTGGTGGACTCGGGTCGGGCCACCCGGCCCGTGGACCGACCCGACCTGCTACTGTGCGGGATCAAGACCGGCCTGCTACTGTGCGGGACCGAGATCGGTCCGGTTTTCGATCCAAGTCAGCCCTAAGCTCGGGGGCTAGGGCGGGTCCGGGCTCGAGTCTCACATTTGGCGAACCGGCCCGACCAGGTTGAGCTTGATGGTTAGGAGGGGTTTGGGATGAGGGGTGAGGGGGGGTTAGGAAAGCAGAAAAAATACCCAAACCGGAGACCCGGGCCCAGGCCCGGACCGGACCCGATGGCTACCCGGACCCGGACTGGACCCGATGGCTATCCAGGCCCAGACCGGACCCAGTGGCTACCCGAGCCGGTCCCGGGTCCACCAATCCTGAATCGCCAGCCCGCCCGGGCCTGGCCCGGCCTGAATCCACGCCTAGATAATAGTGGATGGAGTACACTGCTGATTAATTTTAACAGCAAAACGCTGCAAAATGCGGCGGGATTGCTAAGGACCCGCCAAAAAACAAAAGAAGCCAATATTAAAAAAAGAAAACGGTGGCCAACATTTATTTTGAGAGAGATACAATGCATAAATGCTCTCCTGTAAAGTGAGGTAATTTTGGGACGAGGCAGAAGGAAAAGTTTAGATAGTTTAGAGATTTAGGTATTACGGAATACAAAATTAATGTTTAAACAATTGAAGACCACTTTATCTTTTATAATTTATCATTAAATATGAAAATGAATACAACTTTATTACTGCGATTGTTACGCTGTAGCCCTGCAACTCAACCACCTTTGACCCGCACGTATTGCGTGTTAAGTTCTTCAGAAACAATCGGCAGCTTTTAATCAAATAGGAAACTCTAAAAATTTAACTCTTTGGAGGCTACAACTTCTGGGTTTTTTGCCTAGCAACCTTGATTACAGCGATGCACTTCAAACATCAGCTTGTTTTGTAATAACCTGGGAATACATTGCAAATAAGATAGAAAGCTCTTACGGTTAGATCATTATCTGCGCATGATGGCTGGCTAGAGCAGCCTCGAGAGTAAAGTTACCGGACAAATAAGTATCGTTGGTTATCTCGCTCTTACCTTATTTTCAAGAACCGTCCCATCCGGAATAACTATCTTCACTAGTGGCAGTGCCTTTATAACAACCTTCCCCTGCAAAAGTTGAACCACAGCCAGGCAAGAAAAGTTCAATCTTTATTATGACATTTTCCTATCCTACTTCGGGTACCAGACTTTCATTTCCTATACTTTTGGTCTTTTATGGCAAGTCATAGTCTAAATTTAACCGCAACTTGTATGGAAATTGACTAGATAAGTGCTCTAAAAATGACAATAAATTGATATTTGTATGGCAGAAGTAGAAATTGGAAGGCCTACCTTGAGAGTGATTCCACTTCCAAAATAAACATCACCGGTCAAGTCCAAGCTGTCAAGCTCCACAATGCTAGGAATGGACTTGAAACGAGTATCGAAATCGTTAACCTGATTGAGACATAAATGCAAAATAGAGACATACATATCAGCTAACATGCAATTGACACAGGAGAGAGGGTTATGTTTCTATGAGTTACATTTTCAAACTCGGGCCCCAACTGAATGGAAGGATCACAAGGGTTTGTTCTTGCAGCATTTCGGGTCATAACGCCATCCACTAAACTGTAAAGATCAGACTGCACAGCCAATGGACATGCGATTAGTGGTATCCTTCAATGAAATCTATATCAAAAGCCAACAAAACGATCTGTGCAATATTCATTTGTCTGACCCGAAAAAGAAGTAAATCTGATGTCTTCTGAAGTGGAAGGTATTTAGACATTGGCACAGTTATAGCGAGTGGCTGATCTAGAAACTGGACCACAAAAACAAAAAAACACAGTTGATTAATAAGGCATAATTCAAATAAACCAAATTTAAAATAATAAAAAAACTCTTTCCAGTAGTTGTTACTTCTTGGGGAAATAACTCTTCCACGGATAACAGTACAAATATTTTAATCACAATGCTGTGAATGTTGGCAATACCTCTGACATTGAGAAATTCAGATTAGTTCTTATTGTTAGTGATTCGATGAGATTCATATTCATCCACCTGTAAAAGATATTTAGAAGTTATGGATTTTCCTATTTTGATGTTTACTTTCAGGTAATTTGCATACCAAGAAAAATAAACTTACAGTTTCTTGGTCGATTTCAAATTCTCCGCCTTTATATAAATCAAAACAAATAACGTGTGCATTAGTCATAGTGCTCAGATGATGAAAACAGAAAGAAACAACCATCGGTGTTTCCTAAGTAAAAAAATATTCACAATTCAATTGGTATTCAAGTATTTTCCAGTGGAATGGTAAGAAATTAAGAACTAAAGAAAGCATGTCACCCTGGCAATTTAATTCAGTGTTCAAGACCGGATGAAAATATTTGCCACTATCAGACTAGCAGTGAATCTTTGGAAACCATTACATTTTCAGAGCTTCTAAACATCTTCACACTTCCAATTACTATGGATAAATCTGGTGATCCATTACACGAAGTGACCGAGAAAAGAGTAGAAAATAGCACAACAAACAAATTACAGAGAGTATCAAACAACAGAGATGCAAAATGTCATGTAATCGGATACTCGGAGCTCTTATTTTGCTGGGGATTTAGGAGGGCAGTGAAGGATATTATTGTTGTAGTAATTTATTCTTATATCTAGCTGGTTGTAGAGAAAGTGAAGATAAAGTAATATGAAGTACAAGATCTAACTTAACATACAGTAAAAGCATTGTACAGAAATAATCTATACTGGGGTTACTTTTTAGTCAAAGACTAACCGAAAAAGATAAATTGGTAAAACGAAAATCAACCTTACACTCCCAATCCCTTAATCAAACAGGCCCTTGGAAAATTTAGAGCTTACTCGATGGAAACTTAAATGTTTAAAAACCAACCCTGTAGCGCTAGCGCTTCGTTGGCTTCCTATGTAGCCAAAATGATGGATCAAGTCCACCACGTGGGGATTCATACCATCTTTAATTAAAGTGGTTCTGTTAGTTTATAGCTTTAAAATATATGCAATATTAGAAGCAGAAAAACTTCAACTAAGCACTACATAACCCACTACAGATGTTAAAAACAAGATATATAAACACCTTTACACATCATAACCCAGAGAGCATAATATAATAAAAACAGTACGTTTAATGATGTTTATGCATCAATTCTTTTTTTAACACGATGTGTAAATGACTTTAATCCTAATTTTGTTGATTTTAGGCCTAGAGAAATGGCTGGCACTTGAAAAGGGTAGGATGTTTCTTAAACATGATCCCAAACCTGGATATTCTGTTCTTGAGCCAAGAGTTTAAGATTTTCCACACCAGATGTGGTAGGCAACACCTGAATGATAAAAAATAATTAGATGTAGTAAAAATCAAGGAAATAGCTAAAATTGCAGGAGCTCAGTTGGTCATACCTCAATGCAGTATTGGGTATTGTTCCTAACCAGATGACTTAGGATTTCTAGAAACATTAGATAAAAAACATCGAATTAAACTTTTGTGCTGTGCATATGAAGTAATTGAAAGCAGTAAGGTTGTGATGATGTTATAGAGCAGAATACTTGGATCAGCCAATTCAGCAAGGTTGTCTTGCTGCACCACAAGGACATACTCTTTACCCTGTACATAAAGTAAATCCATTTATTATTCACCATCTTACCCTCACATATTAGGTATATATGTGTCAGAGAAAAAACAAATGCATATTTCATTTTAAAAAGAAAAAAAGTGTGCAACAACAACAACAACATCCAAGCCTTAATCCCAAAAGAATTTGGGGTCGGCTAACATGAATCGATCTATGATATCGATGCCAAAAAGAGAAGGCGGACAAGAAAAGGAAAAAAAAGTAAGATAATTAAAAAGAAACAAAGTGTGCAATGAAAGAAAAATCAATGAAGACATGACCTGGGCCAATAGATCATCAAGTTTCCCGCTGTTCTTCAGGGAAATGAAAACCTCACTCAGGTTGGAAGGGTATCTTACAATAGAAATTTAAAAAAGAGAAAGATTTGTCAGGGTCTTATAAAAATTAGGCAAAACTAAGAACCATAGACATAATCATAACCTTGCTGAAACTCCATGTAACCAAGTCACATGGTAAATTAGGAGTTGCTTGGTAGGAAGGTTTTGGGAATGGGAATGATACATTATGTCTGAAAGTACTCAACTATGGGTTTGATTTCACCTTTTGAACATCAACCCCTATGCTACTCAAATTGAAGGGGGGATGAAACCCTTTATCTCATTCTTTCAAACCCGTTCCTTAAAATTAACGAAGCATGTTTAAGATCAAGAACAGTTTTTCAATTTTTTAAATGAAGATGCGCTCTTGTAGACTAGATTTTCTAGTTTATAAATTTGGAACTATTTTGTCAGTGCCTCTGTTGTTAGTCAGCCACTGAATTCAGTTAAAAAGCAACACAAACCAGAGAAGACACCAAAACAGATAGTCTTGTGACTCTTGTCTTCTTGTTCTGCTTAGTAAAGGTGAAAAATATCAACTTGTGAAGGCAATGCCAATTTTAACAAGTATATTTGCTTGTTTGATTACTAGTTACTACATACTTCTATATATCATGACATGTCTTCATATAATAATGGTGGAGATCAAATGATTCATATAAACAGTTCCACCCTTTTTACAGCTTAGAGAACATGATATCAAATCATACATTGGGATATATGAAGTTTATTTAACAAGGAAAATAGCACTGGATGATACATATTGAGATGTTTCAGTTAGTGGAAGGTAAAAGGTCGGCAGTGGATTTTATATCTCAAAATAATTCAATAAAATACAATGGATTTACTGTTCAGTATTTGAAACGATAGGGTAAATCAATAAAGGGAACACCACTTGAATGTAATTTGAGTATAATTTAAGACTATTTCAAAAATAGAAATGTAGATTCTACTTGAGTGTCATATTCATGTTTTTTATAATGTATGTATATGTGCATGCGGGCCACAGGGGCCAGGGAAGGACTTACAAGTGATCCTTTGGACTGGATTTCTTACTATGCTGGAGAGAATCATTACCATTAGTTTCACCATGATGCTGAATATAAAGTGTGATTGTATTAGCACATGCAACAAAAACAAGACTTTAAGAAAAGAGTGTGGACGTGAAGATTGACAATAACCGTTCAACGAAATCTCATACATAAAATTTAAGTAATTACATACCTGAATAAACGTGTGGACGTTTTTATTAGAATGTTTTCTCAAGACCTGTATGAAAGAATTATATATTAATTTAGATAATATCTCAATTCAAACTCAGTATAGAAATAGCAAAAATTGGTCACCTTCTGGAAAGCATTTTCTGTGTTAACTGTGCTCATCAGAAGCAAGGGAACATTGCATCCATATTTCAAATTGAGGGACTACAAGCCAACAACCATCAAGATATTCAGATCTGAGGGAACTCAAAGATTGTAGTAACTTCTAAGGTTCAATTTATATATTAGATACAGGGAGCAACATAGTCCGAGGATAAAACAACCTCGACATTGTCGATAATTATATCCAAACAAGTCTTGTCCTCAGATATTTCAAGAGTACATCTGCACATAAAACAGGGCAATGAAGAAGTTCTTTAGTTCAGAATACAAGTTCATCAAAAGGTCTTAAACTGTTGGTTCTATGAACTACTGTTACAGATTCATATATTCCAATTTTATATAAGGAAAGCAGTAAAGATAGTTTGTTCTCAAACAGTAAATCATAAGTAACTCCTAAGTCTTCAATCTAACATACATGCTTACTTTGGCATATTCAATCCCATTTCTGTACCCACATTACCAATGCATTTCAAAATAACAAGTTTGTCTAGTAGCTGTTTAGAGTCGGAAAGATCTGCAATAGTGAAAGAACTAATATGTGAGACTGTGAGAGCATCATGAAAGTATCACAAAGATGAAAAAGGATCAGATAGAAGCGGGGTGTTTACCCTCAGAAAGCAGTTCTAACTTTTCATATGGCAGGACCAACACATTGTTCTTGCTAGTCATCTTGCTTTGGTCAGATAATTGAACATCTTCTCTTCATATGCATATATGATCCACAATATATAAGGAAAATATGTAAGTCAACAAACAATATGTGGGTGTGATATACACAAACTCAAATTCAACATAATTTAATTAGAGAGATCAATTTCACTAATTGATTCAACATTCTAATGGAGCCAAAGACACTACTTTTTGGTATGGGAATATGAAATAGAGCAACATGACTCACTAAATTGTTTGCGCTTCTTTGTTATGAAGCAGTAGCCAATCCATGTAATTTTCGACGCGATTTTCATCCCAGGTCATCCGGAAATAGTCTCTTTGTGCTTTAGTATAGGGGTAAGGCCGCATACATCCGACCCCCCTTACCCCACTGTAGGTGGGAGCCTTTGTGGCACTGGGGTAATGTTGTTGTTATTGTTGATGCAACATTTTTATCACACTAACTGTAGGAAACATAATGTTATCAAATACTCCTTCCGTCCCAAAAAATACTTCCCACTTTCCTTTTTGGGTCGTCCCAAAAAATACTTTCCATTTCCCTTTTTGGAAAGTTTTGTGTGGGTCACATTCAAATAGCTTTTTCTTTCTCAACCACAACAATACATTTCCACTTTATTCTCACTTTCTTAATAAGCGTGCCAAGTCAAACCGGGAAGTGTTTTTTTGGGACGGAGGTAGTATCATTTACTGAATTCGCATTTTACATGATATCTACAGATACAAATCGGGACCATAAACCTAATATTCACTTTTACACACGAAGTCCCAAGCTTTTAAACTATGATGGTCTATTGTTTTGGAAAAAAGATGCTTTATGCGTAGTAAGGGAATAAAGGATCATCTCCATTAAAGGTAGCAATATTATCTATTTATTGAAAAACAACATATGAAGAACCATAAAGAATGATGAATTGGGAAGCACATCAATACCTTCACAAACTGAATACCGTTTACTCGCAAAGTCAATAGACTTTAAATACAAAAACATATATATGGATAATAGGGTATCCAAACCATAATTAATGGAGAGATTATGAGCAAGAGAAGTAGAGAAGAAGATGAATAGTAGTATTATGAATGAATATTAATTAGAGTTTATAAGACATTCCATAGGGAGTATATATAGAGAAATAACGGATTGAGACGCAAATATGGGTCCAATAAGCCCAACTACATAAAAGTCTAATCTAGTAGATATAAATGATACGTGAACTATACAATAATATACTACGTAAATGATATCCGTAAAGCATGTGTGGACCGTTATACAGACCCAATAGTCGTGAGAACAGAGGTCTGAGTCTATATACTCTATCGATATACATTCTCAACATGCAACACACACAAGTTAGGAAAGGGGGCTTCACTAGGTCTGTACATATTAAAAAATGAAATAAAAATTAAAACTCCCTCAGTTCATTTTTAAAGTATATATTTTTTACAGTTCGATCATATTACTATTTACAATTGTATAATTACAAATTCAACACAAATAAACTATTTGAAAAAAACTATACTGACAAGTTATTATGCTTGCACAGTTAACGTGAACTATGAAGCTTTGACTCCAGAAATAACTTAAAATAGGAACGGATGAAGTACATAAAAGTGATCCTCCTAGAACCAGGTCATAGGACACAAAATCTAAGAGAGAGAAATTCCAGTGTTTAACACATAACATGAAACTAAATTACTAGTGAGATGCAATGGTACCTACCGAGTTTCAGGCTTGCCAGCATTCAACTTCTTCTGCTCATAAAGGAAGGTCTTGGTAATCAAATTGCAAAACAAATACACAAACTGTACAGAGTCATTTGCTGGCACAGGGTAAGTGATCTTCTTAAATGTTTCCCAGGGCATGCTGGAGTTAACTAGCCCCACGACAGGAATCTGAAGCCTAGCAGCCTCGTCAATGACAGAAGACTTCCGGTCGCTGTCGAAAATCACGATGCAATCGGGAGGATGGACGGCAGTGAGGTTGAGCTTCTTGTTTCTGCCCCGAAACTTCCTTGGGCTCGAACTGTTCGTCAAAAAGCCTCCGAGACGCCAGGAAGTGTCGTTGCGGCAGCCGATGGTCTTGGTCATATGGTCGATGATGTCATCGAAGAGGGTGTTAGTGTTGACGAAGATGAAGCGGGCCTTGCTGCGGACAAGGCTTCCGATGAAGTCGCAGGCGCTGCGGAGGCAGATGAGGGTTTTATCGGAGTCAATTATGGTCATGGCGTTCCGGGAACCGGCGGAGTAGATCTTGAAGTGGTTCTCCGCCACACGCTTCCCCAGGTGCGCATTTGTGCTCAAGAGTTTCTGGATTAGCACTGAGTGTATCGGCATTGCTGGGTTGTGCGAAACGGCGGCGCTGAAATAGAGTATATTACTGTTTGGTGGTGAGTGGAAAATTGGGCACCATAACCATCATAGCGGAGGGGGCTTCGCTCTTTTGTTCAGTGGGAATCGAGAATAGTTAACAGAGGAAGGCGTAGCAGATTGGCAGGGTTTAAGGTTTTTTAAGTTCCAACCTTGAAATGAACATTCACATGTAAGGAGGCTATAAGTTCTTAAATTGTTTGCTGGAATTAAAAGTACATACTACTCCTAATTGTCCCCTTTCATCATTTTTGAATGTTTCCAGTTACTGTTCATATTCTCAATTTATTCTTACTTTTGGAAAATTTGTGTGTTTCTGATTCATTCTTACTTTATTCTCAATTTATCAAATTTTTGGAAAATTTGTGTGTTTCTAATTCATTCTTACTTTATTCTCAACCTTTTTATTCTCAATTCTTACTTTATCAATTTCTAAGTTTCCATTTTTGAAAAATTTGTGTGTTTCTAATTCATTCTTACTTTATTCTCAATTTATCAAATTTTTTATCAAATATATCTTTTTATTAGAAATTATTTATAATATAAAAATTATATGAAATGTTCTTTGTTAAAATTACTTTCATAAAAGTATAAAATTTATAACTTTCGTAGTATTATACAAATCAAAATCATTGTTCAAATTTTACATGACAAAGTTTTTTGGGACGAGGTAACATATGTATTGAAATATATTTTATTCTTAAATAAAAATAGAACATGTAGAGTTATGAAGGAAAGAATCGCATACTCCGTGTATAATACTATGGGGGTGTTTGGTTGATCCCCTATCACTGCGGATTTTTTTGGTTGTTTTGACCATGATTTGTCTTTTTGACCGGATTGATAGCCTACAACAATTAACGATTCAGTTCCCTCTTGTTTTGTGAAGCTCTCAAGACCGATGAAGGTGAATTTGTCCGATATTAGGTTAATACCTTATATCTTGAGTGGATTTGGAGAGGAGGGGCTCGAGCTTATATTTTTTTATTAACCAACAATTCCAAAGGTTGACCTGATGTTGTATGAAATAGAAAACGAGGGAAACAAGAGAGAAGAGAACAAATATAATGGAAAATAAAAATGAATTTAAGTTGCTGATAAATGAAATGGAAATGAAGTTAGAGGAGAAGATGAATAGTTGACAAGGCTCAATTGATCAATTAAAAAAGTACTACGTATAATTATAACAATGTATGCAAAAAAAATCCTTAACAATAACTATAATTTTATACTTGATATTATGCGGAGTATGTAAAAATATAATGTGATCAGACGAATCTTGTGACGAGGCGTCAGAGTTTTCTGCTCACTGCCGTCCGGGAGGAATGAGAATCAGAGTCGGAATCAACCTCCACCACTGATGATGCAACTTCTTTCTCGGTTGTCTTCAGTTTCTTCTTTCTGGCTGCAGGGGCGGGCTGGAGTGCTGACCTCTTCCCGGCTCCCTTGGTGTGGGAAGGTCGGAGGTCTACAGCCGGCTGGGCAAGAGTCGCAGTCTCGCCCCCTTTGGCGGATCCCCCCGATCCTTCTGATGAGGGTCCGCCCAGAGCACCTCGCGTCTGAACTCGTCGGGCCAGAATCATGGATTCTGGAGTCAAACCCGCCTTCGCTGCCAACCTCTCTAACCGAGACACCATCTTGTTCCCTTCTGTAGACAGAACGAAAAACAATTGTCAAGAAAATAGTGGTATGCGAGGAAGTAGGGTTGAGTTGCCAAATCAGGCATAGGTGACCTGGCAAGTATGTGAGTATGACTACTCTGTCCTCACCTACATAGTGGCCCATCAGAAATGGCACTCCGTCAGCGATCATCCCGACAACCTCAACGTTTCCCTCCGACAGAAAGGGCATCATCATCCATTTCCAGATCATCTCCCCCCATTTGTTTTCAAATTGGAGTCTGCCGTTCACCGAGGTAACCCAGACCCAGTTCTGCCTCCAACCCTTGAAGGAGTCGGGATAAGACTTGGCCTCAAATAAACGATGGTCAGCCCGTTGGGAAATTGAAAGATAACCCGGAGACTCGGAACCGCCAGGCCGTACAAATGAAGACAACGGGCAATGAACCCGGCGATAAACATGTGGGTGGTCGGAGAAAATTGGCCCAGAATTACACCATAATATCTCATAACGCTAAGATGGGCATTGTGCAGCGGGAACCGTAAACCGACTTGTAGGATAGCTAGGTGAACCCCGAAATGGTGGGGGGGAGGGGGCTCCACAATGTTTTGGCCAGAACATGGTCGGGAACAGACAACACTAGGACCCGCAAGGGGCACCGTCTCATGAAAATCGGCGTGGGAAAGGATGACGGTCGGGAACCGTCGTGCATAATCAGAAGAGAGGAAGAAATGGGTCTCAACTCTCAACCCAATGAGAGTCGGAATCTGGGGCCGGCTCGAATTTGCCCCGTCATCGGAGAAGACATGATGGAGGGGAACAGAACTAGAAGACCACATTGGGGACTAACCTGGAGAAAACGAAAATAGCGGAGGAGAGCTCTTGCGGCTTAGGGTTCCCAACCAACAAGACTAGATGCTTGCACGAGAGGAAATTTGCAGAAGGATTTTCCAAAGAATGGCGAACGTTTTTATAACCTAACAATTAGGGCTTGGGAACCGCCACAAAACCGCTTGAAAATCGTAATGATGGCACTTGAGTACTAAAGATAGCGGGGCGGATTGGAAATTGTGTTGGGCTGCATGCCTATGTCAAGACGGGTGCACTTAGTGCAAAAGGCGCTGATTTTAGAGAGTAGGGGGCTCGTGATGGTACCATGGACTCCAGTCATGACCCAATTACAGAGATGTAGACCAAGTCCATGACGGGATCAAGTCTTCAACATGATTAGCCAATAACGGGATCTAGCCATCAACGGGATTAGCCCTTAAACGGGATCAGCCCATGAATGGGATAAATGTTAATTAGCCGTTGGGGCTAACTGGGAATCAGACTCACAACAGGAACCCACAACCAGGCCAAGCTGGACAACAAACCTCAAGCCTGGGCGAAGTTCTAGTGAGGTCGGGATATTACTAGGGCTTACGTGGCGGGCTATCATTCGTGCATAGCTATTTGGCAGCAGGCAAGGATAAACGGTAGGAACTTGGACTTAAAGGAACAATCACTACACAACGGGAAAAACGTTACAAGAGCCCTACTCGAACTAATGTACAATTAATAGCATTTATTCCATCACTTTCATCCTAGAATACTAGTTCCTTTAGTCTATAAATACTTCCTGTAAACTTCCTATCAAGGGATCGAACTCCGGATAATAGAATATTGCCTTACACTGCCATATTTTCATCTACTCTAGTAGATATAGCTCTCGTATTTGGATTAAACTCCATCAAAGACAAAACCCTATTAGATACCATACCCTCTCATTGACTCATAACATTAATTCAAATTTTAGAATGAGTTTCAAAACTTACCCCTCCTATTGGATTTGTCAACTTCTTTTTTTGTCTAAAAAACTTTGTGACTTGCGAAGTGAAGTAACTTTTACTTTTCTTATGGGGAAAATCACACTTTTAGTCCCTGAAATAGTCAACATATTTAAATGTCAGGCCTGTGTTTCTCAGTTTGTAAATGTTATCCCTCATTTGTCCAAATTGCTGCAAATGTGGTCCTTGGAGAAGTAAAATGTACAATGTAGGCGGAGTACATTTCACCCATCAAAGGACCACATTTACAACAATTTGGACAATTGAGGGGTGATGTTTACAATCTCATAAATACGGGTATGACATTTCAATATGATGACTATCTCGTGGGCTAAAAGTGCGATTTTCCCTTTCTTATATGTGATGTTTGTGCTTTTCTTCATTTCTCTCCTCTACGGCCCTACATAAATTAAATCACAATTTTTATTTTTCTTATTTCTCAAAGTTGACAAAGTGTATTAGAGTGGAATGGAGGTAATACTGTATAAAATTTCAAACCTCAAGTATCGAATGAGCAGGCTCTTGTAATGAACTAATGATAAACAATTTGATGAGTTTGGGTGTCCAGTCCTGTATGTTCCGTTGTATACGCCATATGTTTTTTATTAGCGTGAATGCCTATGCTCTAGAGATACATATATATATATATATATATATATATATATATATATATAGTCATTCTCTTGTCCAGCAGGTTTTGGTCCGAACGCCGTTCGAACACCGTCATTTGGGGCGGTTCTCGTTGGAATTTTTTGATGAAAATTTAATGGTATGTTCTTCGTCAAGTCTAGTTTATCCACAAAAAATTTTAGCTCAAAATTCGATTGGGAAGGTAGTCAAATAAGTTTTGGAAGTTAACTGCGCAAAATTGTACAAAGAAAAACGCAGTCAACTTCAAAAAATCATTTAAAGGCCTTCCCGATCGAATTTCGAGCTGAAATTTGGTATGGATATACTAGACTTGATGAAGAACATACCATAAAAAGTTCATCAAAAAAATCACCGGGAACCTCCCCGAACGGCGATGTTCGGACAGCTCCTCATGTCCGAACGTTCGGATCTGAGAATTCTCCTATATATATATATATATATATATATATATATATATATATATATATATATATATATATATATCGCTATTTACACTAGCATTTTACTATTGTCCTTGGAGCTTCAAATGTCAATATATGTTAATTTAAAAGGCTGGATTTGAAAAACTTAGAAGTTTGTTTGAGTTTTTGACAAGAACATAGAAATCGAGGACAAAATGATAGAAGAAACTGAGGAGAAGTAGAAGGAATGTAGAAAAAAGGAACGGGGAAAAGGAATAGGGGGAAAACATCCAAGAGGGGAAAAGAGACAGGAATAAGATGAGCAAACAAGGAAAAACACAAATATGGTGAAAGAAAGACAATATGCCCCGAGGAAAAAATTAATTAATTAAAGATCACTACACAGAAAGACTACAGGATAACAGGAATGGAAGAAACTTAAAAAATTCAAAGAAATTAAAAGATGATTGAAAGAGACAAAATAGAAGGAAAAGAGTTAATAAAATAAGAAATCCATATAGACAAAAAAGAGAAATGATTAACGATTACTAGAAGTTTACTTGCTGAAATTTCCAATTGTTTTTTAAGTAGATGCATTCAGGTGTGTTTGGATATAATTCTTAAAATTGTTTCTACTTCTTCAGGGAGCAG